CCCCAACGATCGGATTCCGAAATCTGTCGTTTCGCTACGCGTCAGAGAACGGGGTTACGTTAAAATATTCTCGTCTGGCGACCTTGCGGATCCTTCGCGATGGAAAGTCGCGCGGAAAATCCGCTTTTTCCTTTCCCGTTTTTCTTCCTTCGGAAGACAAATTCGGTACGAATCGTTGGTAGGAGTAAAAGTGTCTGGCAAGTCCTCGCTGCCCGAGCATGATTCGATTAATCCGCCGCGCCATCATCGTCGCGGACCGCAGCCACTTCTCCGAGGCGTTCGAATATCTATTTTACATTACGTTTCATCGCATTAGCGTCGGCCAGAAGTTTATACAAGCGTTGCAACTAAGCCTGTAAGCTCAGTCGTGTCGACGACCCGCAGGGTAGCCGGCGCGTTAATATAGGACACCGGCACGCCGTACCCGATCGCCTTTCGAAACAACGGAACCCATTTTCCTTTTCTTTTTTTTCTCTCCCCCTCTCTCTTTCTCTCTCTCTCTCTCTCTCTCTCTATCTATCTATCTGTCTGGATTGGAACCGTAACGACTGGGAGTACAGCGACGCGTAAAAATTCCTCCCTCGAGCAAAGCAATTTATCCGTGTTTAAAATAAATTCGCGCGGCCACGATAATTTTCTTCTGCAAATATTAACTAAAATTCCAATAATCCGTGGAAAAGAAGGAGCGTAAAATTTTATGTCATACTCGTGCACGCCGCTGTATAACCCGAGTCTCTTCGATCTCTCCTTTTATTCGCAATCAAATTTTTTCACGGTCATACGAGATTAATAGCCAAGTGGAACGGCTTCGATATTTCTTCCCCGCGCGTTATGCCATTTCGAAATTGATTTCGACCGCGAGGGTACGGATCGACGGAGAGGGAAAAAGGGAGAGGGGGGTGAGGAGGGTGATCGGGTTATTGGTGTTTATCTCGCCTGCTGGAAAAATCCGCCGACGGCCGGTCGTCTATCACCGGCTAATTTTCTCGATCCTCGCGGTTCATCCGTCGCTTCTCCGTTTCGATTTTCCTCCATTTATATTTCCGCTCGTGGCATAATCGCGGCTAGCCCGCTCGAGCGCGCGCGCTCACCGTATTGATCGTGAAAGAGAGGGTGCACGCGTCTTCCGCGTCGTGCCCCTGCTCGCCCCCTTGCTTCGTCCCCGGTGATTTATACCGTGGCGTTTAAGCACACTCGCCTTGACCTATCCGCTTGCAAATGAGCCGCGTTTCTCGGACCACGGCGAATCCTCGAACCGGTCGATCCGATCGATCGGTTCCGCGTGTGTGTCCGCGATCCGTGATTCTAACGCGAATTACGCGTAGACGGGACACGCGTGTACCTCGAGCAGAAGGCGATGTATCATCGAAATTTCTCCTCCATTTGTCGCGTATCCGCGTTCTCCCGTGTCTCGGAGGAATTTTAACGAATATCGATAAACAGGGTGGAGCGGAATATTCTGTCGTTTGCCACGCTTGCCGAGACTCGAAAGCGATTATTTTTCCTCGCACACTCCTCCGCGTTTGCTTGTTCGGCCTTCCCAATGTTCATCGAATCCTCGATAACGCCTGGATATATCGATATTCGTGTTCTTTGATCAGGCTCGTAAAGAAATTGCGTTATTATAAATTTAAATACGCGTACGCCTGTCGGTGGTGTTTTTATGCTAGTTCGATGCTACTCGGGATACGACGAGATTGGTTATTTAGACGTGCGCTGTACCCGTTGGCAGTACGGGTTACGTCACTCTCGAAAGACGTTTGATCCGGGAAACAAACAAATATGCAAATGACCGTGCTCGATCAACGCTGGTCGCGATGCAACGTAGCGCAATGACAACGAGAATCCGGCGGCCTTTGCCGATTCGCCGTAACTCGCCTTATTTTCCCGGTCTCTTATCGAGTATCGTTAAAATTTCCCGCTACGCGCATTTGTCGAATCGAGCACGGTGCGCAGAAAAGTAAGCTCTTCAATCGCGTTATGAATATTTCATCGCGGCTGCAGCTGCGCACCGTGGAAATTCGTGCCAAATAATTCGCCCCGAGGCATTCAGCGTCGTTTACATCGCGGAATTACAGCGCGAAAACGTTCCGACGTTAGCGCCAGTAGCGAACTTTTGCCACATCTCCAGCCACGGAATTGACGCGTAACGTCCGCCATTACGGTTGCAATCGCCGGGCAAGAATTCGTCGCTGTTACTTATCGTCGTCTCTCTTTTCCTGGCGCGAAAATAAGACAGAAAAATAATGAAAAAACAGCAGAGTAGAATACAGGAATATAGAATACGGGTAATTCCATGGAGAAATCGTTTTACCGTTCGATCGTTAGATCCTCCTGCGAGATTTTTCGTGCTCGGCGAGATCGGTGCAACTTACTCCGTTGCGATCCGGCCTTAAAGTCGCCGCGTCCTTCGTTGCTCTCTCCCGTTTAAGATATTCTGCTCGATCGACCAGTGATATCTTCATAGCTCTGCTCCGTCGTGAATTATTAGACGCCGCCGCTTTTTTCTCTACCCTTTCTTGGCGATGGAATTCATTTTCCTGCAAAACGCGTCGCTCCGCGCGCGTGTCTAACGTTTTCCCGCGTGGATTTTGCTCGCGATGGAAAACGGGATCGGTTCGAACTCGTTTCTCTTTTCTCTTAGCTTCTACCACCGCTTTTTACGCGAGGAGACTCTCAGTTTCCACGGCATACAGGATCTTCGTGAAATTTTACCATCGGCATCGATCCTCGACGTACGCCTCGCGATTTTAAACCTTTCGTTTCCGGGGAACGGGGTAGATCCTTCGTATCCGATCAGATTACTCTTCGTTGAGGACAGTTGGTAGAGAAATTAGTGGAATTATGCTATAGCCTGTGGAGAACGCCGAAGAATGGCGGGCGATCGGCAAACATCGGTACAGGATTTGCTCGATTCACCGCGGCGATACGAGCGATGGAAGGAAGCCCTTTTCTCGATTCGTTTGCAAACAGGACGATTGGCATGGTTTTTACGATAATGCGGTGAAATCAGTTCGCTCGTTCCATCGTGCTGCAAATATTTCGCGCGCTCGTCTACCGCGGGTTCGCCCGATCGAACGAGTCAAATTGGAGCGCAGCGGAATGGAACCTTCCCAGCGTTTCCGCGATGTCACCTTTGCTAACGGTTGCAATTAAGGATTCTCGATTACCGTGCACACCGTGTTCCCGTTTCTGTTTCGAAACCGACACGATAACCGTCCAGTAACATCGCCTCTTTCCCCCCTTTGCTCTCTCGTTTTTCCCTTTACCTCTTTTCTTTCTTCCGTTCCTGTCTTTTTTCTCTCCCATTCTCCGCGTTTTATTTCGCCGTTTTTGTTCCCGTAATAAAATTACCAGTTCTCGGACTTGACGGTCCAGCCACGTAATTAACGATAATAATCGCTTTGCTTTCGTTTCCGCGGTATCGTGACAAGGTACACGCCGCGACGAACCAAGGAAATCATTGCCTTCCTTGTTCCTGATCGTTTCGCCATCGGGATCTGCTCCTGTGTCCTGCCCATACGCAGGACAGGCAGAATTTCCTTCCCGACATTCCTACACTCGTCCTTCGTTGTTTTCGAATATTTGCAAAATTTCTTTTCCTCGTTCTTCGTCCTTCCACGTTGTCATACGCGAGTCTCTCTTCTTCTCGTATCCATTCGTTAATTATTTCGACGATCGTAGTTCCCTCTATCTTCGATTTATATCGATTTATTTGTCGAAAGTGTTCCACGCCGCGTTGCGAGGTCCGACTTGAGCGAATTTCCATGCTCCTCCCCCCTGGGTGACTTTGGTTCGCTGAAATTTCGAGGATTCTTCACTCGCACCGTCTGATATACGCGTTTACGAAATTCATATTTCACGCGCGTGGATATCCTGCAAAGGTTAGCTCGCTGGGTTCCGCTCGCATCGCGGGACGCGCGTTGCTCCGGCTTTCTGGCGTGCTTTGCGCTATCACCTGTCATCCGTGTCGTTGGACATTGTTACATCCTACACGCTCGGCGCGACGATCGAGCACGGAACGGAAAGGGAAAAGGGAAAAAATAGAAAGACGAAAAAGAGAACAGATCGAAACGCGCGAGAGGTTTCGCAATAAATTCCTAAGTGTCCCCCTCGGTATTTCTGTAACCCGGTGTATTTTCGATTGCGCGTACACCTCCCCGTTTGACGCGGCTGTCTCGCGGAGAGCGGAAATAAATTCCGCCTATTTTTGCGCCGAACAACCAGCATTCCACGGCTATGGCACTCGGAACAAGGACGGCCGCGGCTTCTATTTTTAATACTTTAATAGCGCGAAATCGATGGACCCCCCCGCGGTACTACGTGCTCGCGGAACAAAAACGCGAGCCTCGCGTCGTTTTCCCGTTTTCCCGCGAACCAACCGGGTATCACGGTCCGCGTGTACACGAGAGCAGCTAGCTTTTCGCCGGGAACTCGAGTGTTCACCTACGTTCGTCGATATCTTAATCGACACCGCGGACTTATCGCGATTATCGCGTGGCCGGCTAAACCGGGATAATAGCGATCGCTGATAACGCGGAGTAGCCGCTTCCGCGGAGCGATATTTCAAAGCGCGCGTACGCTCCGGAGGAAGCCGCGTCCGCGAGCGCGTTGTCGGCTCGGCGTCGCGCGCGTCGTACCGACTCGCCTCGTAATTACGATCGATTAACGAGTTTTTCGAGCAGAATGACACCGAGCGTCGCATGGGTCTCACGATCGCTGCGTCTAACGTGATAATAACGATCAATTGAACCGAGAAACTCGAGGCTCTCGGTGGATGGAGCGGAGCGTAGCGAATTTTCCTTCGGTCGATACTCGTGTTCGGCCGGACGCGGTTTCCTCGCTCGCTTCGCGAACATCTGCCAACTCGGAGGAGACCGGGCCTCGCGTTAATTGCGCGTAAGCGCGTTTATGGACACGCGCGTGTGTGCGCGACCACGCGTACAGGGCAGGATCGATAATTGGCACTAATTTTTTTTCTCGCTTTCTCGCGGTTTCAGTACGACGATGGCGGGGTGCACGGGAGTTACCTCGAGGGCGGAGGTGGCGGCGGTGGCGCAGGACTGTACGATCCGCACGGGAGCGTGCGGGGTGTTCCAGGCCTCCATCACAGTCCACACCTCGGGGGTATGGGGCCTGCACATCCCCAGTACCCACCGCCCCCGCCGCAGCCGCCCCAGCACGTCCTCGCGGCGGCAGCCGCGGCTGCAGCATCTGCGGTACCCGATGTCCACAAACGCGACAAGGACGCGATCTATGGGTGAGTTGATCCTTTTTATTCTCTTCTCTTCCTTCGCCATCTCTTTCGGCGCCGTCTCTTTTCACCTTGCGCGCTCGCGCTAACGCTTCCGCGATCGCTTTGTTTTTCTCGCGTCGCCAATATCGGCGCTGCTATTATCGTCTTTTTTCCTTTATCACGCGCGGTATACAAACCAGCGAGATAAAGCGAACGCGCGCGCGCGCGCCTGCGACCAAACGACTAGGCGCAGCGCGGTTCTGAAATCTATCCGTGTATATTATCCGCGTGTAATCACAGACGAGTGGACGAATTACGCGTTGCGTTCGAGGATGATAGAGATCCGATGTAGAGTATCGGGACGATACCGTATGCTCGCGCTACGTTGGGTTAGGCTCGACGATACTTTCACGATACAGGTATTCTCGGGTAAGAAGCTCGAGATCCTCGTTACGCGATCGAGTTCGAGATTAATGTACGCGAAAACGATATCGCCGCGCGGATCAATCGGTGTGTTTATATTTTGATGGCAACACGCGTGCGTTGCGCAATCGGGGAATTTGGGAAGAAGGTCGGAGAACGGGTAGAAATATTGAAAAGGAAAGAAACGGCGTACGCGGTAGAGCCCGGCGTTCTCGAGGAAACGTTAAAATCGTCTAGTTGCTCCAAAGCGTAATCAACGATTGTTAAACGCGAGTCATCGTCCGTTGGATTTTCGATATCAATCGGTAGAATTGCAGGCAATTTCGAAACGGCACCAGAAGAGAAGCGTATCTCCGACGATTGCAACGATAAGGGTCCGAAGTCCATCAAACCGTGCACGAGTCACGGTGCAATTAAAACGCGCGTTTAAAATCGGTTGAGTTAAAATCCATTATCAGAAGGGGGTCGGTTAATACTCGGAGGCGACCGTTTAACGCGGCACTCGCGTTAATACGCCCCTATCGGCATTAATCTGCTCGTAACTTCGCTATACATCGGCTGGCATCGAGGAATGCGGCGTTACAATGGGGTTTGATAAATCGTAATGGACGCGTGATTTACATGAAAATTCATGACGCGTTACGCGCTTATTTCTTTATTGCAAACACCTACCTACTCTCTCTCCCTCACTCTCTCTTTCTCTCTCTCTCTCTCTATTTCTGTTTCTCCTCCTGCCACTTCGCGTCTGCGTTTCCACGTCGACTTACGTCGAAGAAAACGAAAGGATAACGGCCCAGTGTGTCGCTTTTGATACTCGACGTCGTCCCCCTTTCTCGTCCCGTCGACGATCGACGAGCGGGGGTCCCCTTTTCTTCGAACTTCTCGCGGATAAAATAAATTTCGACCGTGCACGCGTGTACCTACTTGGGCCGAGCCCGATGATTCATGGTCCAGCAGCGAAATTCAGAGGATCGGGCCGTGTAAGTACGTTCTTTTTCCCTCCACGACCGAACCGGGTCCAACTTTCGATCTTTCGCCATGGTGCCCGATTTTCTCCTCGATGCAACTTCTTACCGCGCACCTCGAGCGAAATTATCCTACCGACCGACACGTTCCGGCCTTCTTTTTGCCCCGCACGCGTTTTAATAAACCGCGTGCACCGCAAAACACCGTGCTCTCAAATTCGTTCCTAGTCGCGTGGCATTCCTCGCGTCACGACCGCCTCGATTTCTATTCTCCCGGTGAAATTCCACGTCGGCCACATTTGAATATCGAACGTCGAAACTCTCTTTCGTCCGGGCGTTCACGGAAAACGGGAAAAATAAGAAGAAGGCGAGAAAACGCGTAGACGGGGGGCTAGGATCGCGAGGAAACGCGTCCCCCGGACGACGAGAGGCTGTGCCTCGTGCCACACGCTCCCAGCAGGCTGGGACTCCTCGTCAATTGGCCGTTTTACGAAGCCGGCTCGGCCGTGTTCCGTGTGATTTATAGCCGCGAGATGGCCCGATTTCTGGTATACATCCTAGAACGGGAGCCTCATTATTTCGTGCACCCTGTAATTTGTCCACTCGTCGTGTGCCCCGGCCCCCGATCCCGAGCGGATTCCTGCGCTTTCTCGGAACGGTCTCGGAGGGCCGTTTCGAGGCGGCGTTTAGCTCCTTCACTCCCTCCCTCCCCCTAAGCCCGTTCATTTCCTTGCCCGTTGATAAACTCGTGTTTACAAACCGATCGTGTACGCTCGGCCCCGGCCGATTGAGTCGTCCCCAGGTGAAATCGAGCAGCCGTTTTCGTCTCCTCGCTCCCGTACGCTGCAAACCGCTCCTTCCTGCCCGCCTCGACGCTCGCAATTGTCGATAATTTACTCGGACGTCGCCGCAACTGCGACTAGATCGTCGCCATGTACGGCTATACGTCTGTTTCGGAAGCAGAGCGAGATCGAGGAAATCGTGGAAAGAATTGCTCAAATTCCGTCGAATTCCGTCAAATTTCGTTGAATCCCGTCAAATTTCGTCGAATTCCGTCAAATTCTGTCAAGTTCCGTCAAATTTTATCAAATTCTGTCAAATTCTGTCAAGTTCCGTCAAATTTTATCAAATTCTGTCAAATTCCATCGAATATCTTCGAATTCCGTTGAATTCTGTCAAATTCTGTCAAATTCAATCGAATATCCTCGAATTCCGTCCAATTTCGTTGAATTCCGTTGAATTCTGTCAAATTCTGTCAAATTCCATCGAATATCGTCGAATTCCGTCAAATTCAGTCAAATTTCGTTGAATTCTGTCAAATTCTGTCAAATTCCATCGAATATCCTCGAATTCCGTCAACTTCCGTTGAATTCTGTCAAATTCTGTCAAATTCTGTCAAATTCCATCGAATATCGTCGAATTCCGTCGAATTCCGTCAAATTCCTATGGTGAAATCCTCCAAGTGGCCGCGCAGAGATTTTTGCTGGAAACGAGTAAATTATCGAGGATAAACAACCTGGATGATGGTCGAGAGAAACCTTGGCAGATGGCGCGTATTAAGCATCGCCTTTATCGGAAGACCAGAAGATCGGCTGGATGGAGTATACTCTCTTAGCAAATTCAGGCGGGAAATTACGAAGCTGATACCTCGCTTATCCCTAGTCGGAAGATGGAGTACATTGTACCTGGAGCCAGCGGCGGAGATTGACAATCCAACCGGGGGTCTCGCTTCGCCTAACCTCCGATCGACCGAATCCCGTACAGCGGAGCTCGATCGAACGACGACGTTATCATCGATAGATCGATGGCCCGTGAAGACGAGGTACCGAGGAGAATTTACTCGAAACGAACGGTGATTCTTGCCACGGTTGTACGGCGATTGCACGAAAGAGTTTTACGTAAGCCTGGCAGGCAAGCAGACGTAACGCACAGGCGAATCTGCCAATCACGGCTAGCTCGGATCCTTATGCAAGGAGCATGATTGGCCGAGTCATTTATGTATTTCCATCGCACGCCGCAGGGCAACGGTGACTTTGGGGCCCTGTTTAATATTCTATTCTTCCGATGGACGATAATTAGCGCATTAGAGTGACGCTTCGGCAGATGAGCGGCTAATGAATATTAATGCAGTGTTTAATGGAATCGATTGGTGCGCGCCAGCCTCGTGATTACATCATACGCGCGGTGCAGTTGGACAGGCACCCGGAAAAACAGGATCCCGACATTTTATTTTTGCTGTCCCACGCGTCTCGCTTCTTTCACCAGCAGAAATAACCTCTTCCTAGAGCTTTGCAATTTTCTTCTCTTCGAATTTTCCTTTTCGCAAACTCCGATACGTAGAGGACACCGGAGATCAGTTTCCGTTCGCCGGAAACCACCGGTAGTTTCTTTTATTTTCTCTTCTTCTTGCACGAGGAGGAACAGCTGAGGAGAGAACCACCTGTTAGAGATCTCGATGGACGTTTTTCGAATAGGACCGCGCGGTTTTCAAACGAGCGTAATTATCGCGATTGATTTCCAGTCGGCCGCCTTTATCGCGTACTATCGGCGTGGCGCGTTCCCGGCTGTTTTTATTTAAGCCGCGATAAAATCAACGTGCAAAAGCAGATATGCAAAGCGGAGTTCACTTTCACCGACGACGGCCTGCCGCCGCTTCGACTTGCCCGACTGCGAGGGTTGCGTTTCGATAATTCAATCCGTCGATGTTGATTAATACGTCTTAATAAACATCTCCCGACGCGTTCGTCTTCAGACTCGATTAACATATATATGCAACGGTTGCATACGCGTTCTCGTTGAAAAAGTCCGAGGACGAGTCCTCGAGTGGTAAACCGCTGCTACTTTCCGTCGTTTCGACACGATTCCCGATCCATCGTCGCATAAATCATCCGGTTAGTTATAATCTCGTCGCGTTCATCTTCTCGCGTTCCTCCAAAATCCTCGAACGAAACGAGGAGAAGGAGTAGGGGGAGGAGGAGGAGGAGGAGGAGGAGGAGGTACCGGGTAACGATCGAAGCGAGAAATCTTTGATTCGACTTTCACAGCGATCGACCTTTTACGCCCAATTAACACCGGCATTCGGCACGGTTAATAATAATGGCGTTGTCGGATCGGTGTTTAGAGCGGCGATAGAGAAAAAGAGCGGGAAAAAGCGCGATGTTGACGAATACGGAATCGCGGCGCGGTGTCGGACAACTGTATCGTAACTGGTGGAATCACAGCGTGAAATTGCCGATGGCCGCGTGTAAAAAAGGGCCGGGCGGGCAAGGGCGAAAGGGGGTTCGGCGGGGCTAGGAATCGAGGGCGGAAACCGCAAAACCGCAAACATCCTCCGCGTCCAGCGGACAATCATATCATTACCTTCTGCGGTCCCGTCATTCCGACACCTCGTTTCGAGCCGTCATTTGTCATCGACGTTGCACTTTGCCGCACCGCGACGACCGCTTAAGAAGCGTGCACTCCATTCATAGCGGCGGTTTTCCTGATTGCACGAAACACGTAACCGCACGCCCCCTTTTTAGCGGCCGCTGAAACCGCTTTTAATTCCTCCCCGATAACTCGGTTCCGTTGGACGGCTCGCAGGAAACGATCGTGGGATCCACGACGACTATACCGTGGATGCTCCGAGGTTCGCGTACGGATCGTTAACGCGTCGTTGTCTATCGGGTAAAAGTAGCAGAGGCTTTATCGCCGGGTACCCCGGTGGTCGATCGGCGCGGCGAGATTGAACCTGTGACGATCAGGCCATATATGTGGTGAAAGTGATCGTTTATGTTGCTCCTTTTTTACGCGGCATCGCTGTTTGTTAGTTCAACGTTTGTAACAGGTGGAAAGCGAGCGATATTTTTTTCCCCCTTCGTACGTGTTCCTGTTCGCCGGGTAGAAGTTTATTGAGCAATTACGAGCGTTACGATTACTCCGCGAGGCTTTCGTTAATAACGATACCCTTAATTAACACCTTGTAAACGCTCTTCTTACCGGCTGTTCATTAAAATTCATAATTTCCACCCCTCGCGATCGTCGCGACGATCCAACTGCGATTACGGGAACAACGACGGCGGCGTAAGGGTCAAGGTGTTCGGAAATCGCGTTGATACACGCGCGCTCGTTGTAAATACCGATAATTATTCGTAGTCGGAACATGGCAAAACCGACTGTGTGCGCATCGTGGTCGTGGTGAGCCACGCGGATCTAATTGAATCGATAGCATCTGCGCGAGACAAAAAATGGCTACCCGGTTGCAGCGCGTTCCGCTTCCTCGCGAGTGGCGATAATCCGTGGGCCGATACGCGTTGCGCGATAATCGAGCCTCGAAATCGAGACGACCAATGGACTCCGGATTCGCCGTCTCGTTCCGTTCCTTCGCGTGCAATTAGGCTAATAGGTGAAAATAGAAATCCCTGGCGCGCGGATAGAAAACTCAGGAACGAAGGCAGCGCGGAGAGAAAGTCGAGGGCAGTGGCTGGGGTCTCTCTTTATCTCTGCTCTCGGGGAATAAGAAGAGGAAGGGGGTTCGAAAAGGCGCGCGGGGGGCTGTGGACGTAGACGGAGCGGAAGAAGAAGAGAGAACGAAAGAGGGCACGAGGAGGGAAGCTTTTTTTCGTCGGTGTTGGCTAGAAGGCGGCTCAGCTCGGCTCGGCTCGGCTCGCAGAGAGTCGTTGCTCGCGGCGGCCGCGTCAATTTGTCGAAATTCGTTCCGATTCGTTTTATGTCTGCCACGCCGCGAGACGCGACCCGCTACCATGCGTACACAATGCCTCTGCCCATAGTGCTACCACGTATCCCGTTCCACCGTGAGGCTGTTTCGTCCACGATTCGTCTCGAGACCTCTGAGGACGCGTAAAAATTCGTTCATCTCTGTTTCGGTGGTAAGAAAGAGAGGATGGTCGCGTTTCGTGCCCGCGCCTTGCTTTCCTTCCTTTTTTTTCCCCTCTCTTTCTTCCTCTCCTCCTCTATCCTCTCGCGTCCGCACCACCGAGAAATTGTTCGTTTCCCGCTGGGAATTGTTTGGCGATTAGAGCGCGGTAATTGAGCGATTAAGGCTGCTGCACGTTGTCAGGGTTTTCGGGAGAAATGCGGGCTCACTGGTCGTTCCGCGAACTTCGCTACCCCGATTGCTGGCTCGAGGATATCGAACGGTAACAATCTGGGGCCCCCTCCGATAATTTAACCGCCGACGATATTAGCGAATGCACGTACCAGCCGAAAATCGTCGGGCAAAAATTTTCGCTGGCACGCTCCTGGCTTCGATCTTGCCACGATTTCGCTTCCAGTCAAACGAAAGGAGGATCGGCGAAATCGATACGTAGAAGCAACCCGCGATAATCTTCGAAATACCGATATTCCAATTAGCATTCGATGGCTACGAGAAAAATGGGGGTCGTGGTCTAGTAACGAGTCCTCGCCGCGTCATTAATGGAAAAAGAAGGGCACAGAGATGCAAATCTCGAGATGAACGATATAATCGCCGCGTTGTTGCACGCGAGCCTGAAAGAAGCGAATGAACGGAAGGGCAGCCTAGAGGGAGAAATAATTAAAAAATATATTATTTACGAGCATCAATAACGTAGCAACAAGTTTCATTACAGAAGTGGCTCGACGTGCCTTCATTTCCTTTTCCTCTCTGCTTTGTTGATTCATTACGCGCTACGCGTAGAAACGCTAATAAGCGTTCGTTGCCTCGGCGCTTAATCTCGCGATCAGGCACAATGTAGATGATCGGCAGGCATTTAAATCGTCGCGCGTGCATTTTTCCTCTTAATTCGAAGACGAGCACCGTGCGAGGTGCACGCACTTTGAATCACGCGTCGCCTTCCTGGCCACCCATCGTCCCCTGCCCCCCCCCCCCC